TAACGCGTTACTTAATAACGCGTTAGTCCCAACACTGGTAATAAGAAATTTAGTTTCACATTTACAGATTCTGAAAAATAAAACAGATTTGAAGATATTATAAATGTTTAACTGAGGTGTTTCCTGAATCTGCATGTGTAAAACCTGCTTCTTCAGAAAATGACAAAAAATTAAAGGAGTTTACTCATTTTTTTTCACCAGGTATCTTCACAGCACTTGTTTCTGGTGTGTACTTTTTTACCAATTTCTGTCATTCTGGAGGTGTCCGTAAAACATCGCTGCATTTGTACAAGAACAATGAGGTGATACTGCACATCCATGATCACCAGTCAGCTGACACGGCTGATAATGGAGGAAATGCGGTGTTCCTGCAGCTGCAGCAGGGTGATACAGTCTATCTGCGCTTAAAGGCAAATACACATGTCTATAGATCCAGCACATTAACAAATTTCAGTGGATTTTTGGTCAAAAAAAAACAATTAAAAATAGATGTACATGACTTTGAAATTGTATTTAGCTGCAGTGTTTCTTGTGTGTGCTCCAATAAAACACATTTAAATCATACCTACGGTGGTGTTTACTTCACTTTTGTGTTGGTAAACGATTTAATGCTGGTCAAAATATTAAAAGACTGTTTAAATGTGTACAAGTACAAGTACAAACTTACTCTCTAATTTATTTGTAGTTAGTGGAAGAACAACATTATGTCTGGAAACAGTTCATGGGAAAGATTCATAAATTCATTTTTCCTATCTCTGAAACCAGGATAAAACTGAAACATGATTTGGTGTGTCTCTGTCTCAGAGGAAAACCAGTAATAACTCAAAGTAACGAGATGCAATCATGCTTGGATTACACCTACAAAAGTGGCTGTTGACCTATTAGAGTTGCCAGAAAATGGTAACTCCAAGATTATTGTAAAAAAAGAGGAGTAGTAAATAGAGATGGACCGATCCAATCGGATATCGGAGAGAAATAAAAAATGTAATCCGATCCATTAAATATATATCGGATTCATATCGGTATCGGCCGATATCCAAATTTATGATATTGGTATTGGACATAAAAAAGTGGTATTGTGCCATCTTTAGTAATAAAGATGGTTGACAGACTGGTTCAGTATACCTGCTGCTGCCTGTAGTGCATCTTTCAGCAATATGGAGAGCATTACATTAATGCCAGTAGCATGATTTATGCTGCTCCACAATGAAATGCTACAATGTGGAGGCAGGATGATGTGTTTTGTGTCCATTTTGACTAGGAGCAAAAATACAATTTTAACAGCTCAATTAAGAATAATAGTCTATCTGACATTAATAAATATGTGATTAATTCTTAATTGTTTCAGATCACAAAGGGTTTAAAACAAAACAAAACAAACACACTTGGTTTTCACAGAAAAACATCTGTTATCACATAGTCATTTACCTAAGAAATCAAAACATAAGAGCCTTCATGATTCTAATTTATTTTGTATTTTAAGTCGGTGGGACCTGTTGGGTTCTTGGGCATTCAAGCGCAGAGGTTCCTAAAACAACAACTGACTGATCTCAAGAAAAGATTAATGGTTCATGTGTGTCATGCAAAGTGCCCTTCTTCCAGTAGAGGGAACGATTCATCCACTAGTATTTAAAGCTCCAACCACTGAGATTTCCACTCAGAAACAACATGCTCTAAAATCTACAAACATGTGACTAATATATGTGTATTACACAGCCACAAAGCAGTATCTTTGAAGGTGCTTGTTATGTATTAAAGGAGAAACCCAGCCACCCCCTGGCCACAAGCGATTGCACTACTAATTAGGCTAATAGGCTGGAATGATTTGAGTTATTAGAATAGCCTGATTATAAAAAAAAACAAACCTTTGTTTCAATACTTTGTTTAAGTCACTGCTCTATATTTCCCCATGTCGCCTTGTAAATGTGAGCATTTCACCCACAGCTACAATTAAAAACAGACCTGCAATAGAAATTTTATCTTGTAGCATGCCCGTGAATAGATAGAAGAAGTCATAATAGACATTATGTCCATGCAGCCTCCAAAGAAACTGATAACACAACAGCAACGGTGAAAATTATGCTTTCATAGTTTCATGTGAATCCAGTGAGACGGAAGTTAAAAAAACAAAAAAACAAAAAACAAAAAAACAAAACAAAATATATATATATATATATATATATATATAAGTTTTTTGCTTGTTTGTTTGACTTTTACACTGAGCCAGAAAAGGCTGCTGGAGTATTGTAGGCAACCCATTGGGTGTGTGGACGCACAAGTTTGTGAATGCAATAACTTTAGAACGACACAACATAGGATTTTGAAATTCATCCCACAGGTGCATCTACTACGAGGCTGGGAGGTACCACTTTACTGGAAGCAGTAGACCAGGGTCCTTCATGAAACCACCTGTTTAATCAAATATTAAATAGGTCATGAAGGGTTAGCAACTGACATCCACACTGATGTTATTAAAGTAATGGTTAACTTAGAGTTTTGCTTCATGATAGAGAAGTCAAAGGAAACCACAGATATGAAATGGTTCTCACTGATGTAAGAGAAACAATTAATAGATTTAACATGACAATGGCAGAGTCAAGCTGTTTGTTTACTATATATGTAGTTATACTTATTTGCACACAAATAGTTCATAGTTCACCAGTTCATAGCAATCAATTATCTAGGATCGACCTGTCTTGACTTACTTTGCACAGTAATGAATCAGATGTTAGTCAAGCTGGAGTGGCAGTGCGAACCCCGCCCCCTAGTTGGATGGATGAGACTGTCATGGTTCTGGGTCACTGACCTAGCGTTTCTGAGTTTATTGTCATGATTTTCTAGTTTCTTCTAGTTTCTATTATTCCTACCTGTGTTCTCCTGTGCTCTGTCTGTTTCTCTGAGTTTGTGTTTGTAAAACAGTTTGTGAGCTTCCTGTTTTACTTTGAAGTTCTGTGTCTGGTCGTGTCTAATTAGGTCCAGCTGTGTTCCCCTCTAGTGTGTCATTCCCTCGTTACCTTGTTTGTATTTATAGTGTGTGCCTGCCTGTGTTCCTTATCAGTTCATCTGTGTTATTTTGTGTTTCTACGTAGTTTCAGTCGCGTGATTTTAGCCAAAAAGTGTTTACTTAAATTCAGTGCACATATCAATTTGGTGCTGATTACACCATTCTTTTGGAACATTTGAGATTTATGCTTTTAGAATTCATTTTGAAGCAAGTTTCACAAGAAAATTGGCTATCAGACAAGGCTATTGTCTATGAGAGTGGAATGTGTTAATTCTCTTTTTCTATCTGATAACAGAACACATATTAAGAATATGTGAGATATGTTTGGAAAAAGTATGTACACAGTATTAATACTGTAAAGTAACAAAGGAGTGCATATGTGTAAATTGCAATAAAAAATGGAAGGACATACGTTGTCGTTAAAATTTATTTAGGAGTGTTTAGTTCAGTCACAGAACTCCTAAACACAAACTTAACAATGCTGTAGGAATGCTAAGTCCTCTATAATGGAAAGATCAAACAACCACTTCATAAACACAAGGCACAACATACAGTAGAAGAGCCACTTCCATGAGACAAGACTCAGCTGTCCATCTGCAAGGACAAAGGTCAATCTTTTGAGGATTAAAATATTCACATTTTGGACAGAGAAGACAGATGGTTTGAAAGAGGAGTAAAAGAAGCCATTTAATGCCCACTCACTTCCTGAGCAATTTGACCTCTGGAAATTACATGACAGGAATTACATCACTATGAGTTCAACCAAAAATTTGACTGATTGTGACCTACAGCCGTTTTCACACCTTGGCTCATGTGATTAAGCAGAGGATCATTAGAGGGCCCATGTCCCTCTTGGGGGACACTCCCATAGGGCTTAAATCTGGGACTCTCCACCATTTGACCTTAGAACTGAAGAAGCTTCTCAGATGAGAGATGAAACGTCTTCAAGCAACTTAAAGAAATCCAGACGCTTTTCTTTCCGATCTCCTTAGATTACAATGACTTGGATGACTGAGAACCTTCACAGATAATTTAAATTTGTTGCAATTTCTGATCCCCTCATTGTCAGAGCTCTCTTAAAAAATTAATGTCAATGATGCTTTTTTATAAAAGATTAATAAAGGATATATAATAAAAGTCACTTTGCCAAAAAACTGATTGAAGCTTCAACCTGAAGGTTGTTTGTAGCTCAGGAAAGAAGTGTGACAGCTAGAGCCTTAAGAAAACAGAAGCTCTGCCTGGAGGCGGGGCGGGAACAGCCAGCCCACAAATACACCAGTAGATCAGAAGCAAGAGGCTAAATTTAGATGTAGGGGGAAACTCACGGAAGTCCTGGAAACTTAACTATTCATTGACTTTAAAGTTACCAATGAATAAGAAGCAGACCTGAATGATAACAACAAAAACCACTACCATAGCCAACCAGAACAAAGATAGTAATAAAAAGTTAATTAAATCTTATTCTTAAGACTTCTTAATCTCAATCATAGCTTACCAGGTTACCTTCCAACTGTGTCTTTGTTGTCTAGACATGTAAATGCATTCCTTCACTGCATTCAGACAAAGTATGACATCTGGTTCTTCTGGTTTTATCTTTTATTAAATACCTCATCAACTACACAAAGTGTAGGCGTTGATTACGGTAAAACGTGATCACAGAAGCTGAGCATATTCTTTTGTCTTTTAAAGTCTAAGACAATGACTGTAGTTGTTAGCAATGGAGCTCCAACAGCTTGTGTGCTGGTTCAGTGTGATGATCGTACTCTTTTTCAAAGGTGAGAAAAAAAGATTGGTTTTTCTCATTACATAGTTTGTTTCTGGAGCAGATGTAAAAGAATAATTAGAGGCACAAATGTAAACTACACTGTATAGTAAAGTATATTATATAGTATAATATTTATTCCGATACTGTATTGTTGTCATAAGTATCCAATGTTATAATATTAACAAACCAAATTAATTAAACTCAATCACTAATTAAAATCTGCATTTCACAAGCCCGGAGACTTCTGTAAGTATCATTGTGTTTGACTCTGTTCAGCCAGTCTTTCTTTCCTGAAAGGTTTTATATACAAGGTTAAAATTTCAGTTTAAAACGGACTAGCTGTGCAGGTTATTTTTTGCAGTGTTCATGTTGACAATGATCACTCTCAGTAATACTTGAGCAAATACACTGAAAAAAAAACTGCTAGATGAACATTGCAAAAATATGTATATCAGTTACATGCAATTAATTTGTATATCGTCAACCTTAGTGTTTTATGTTATTACTGCTCACAATTTTTTCGTAACATGAACATGGTTTTTTATGTTGATCTTATGCCTTTTACTCCTGTCAAATATCTATAGAAACCATCTGTTTATTGGAAATTAAATGGTTATGTAAAATTAAAGGTTTTTTTAATGCTAATTGTATTTGACTACCATTTGTTAGATTGACAAGATTATTTTATGCTAAGTATATTTTAATTTCTAACTAATTACTGTATATACATATATAAACACATACACACAAACAATTTAGTGTTCAATAAATAAAACTAAGTTAAGGTTGATCTCACTGTATGTACTATACATTTTCTTTTCAATCCGAGCAATAAGCTAAAATAATAGCTTTATTTAAAACTAACAATGAACTGTATTTTTAAAACTACTATTGTAGTTTATGAGTCATCTGTTTAAAGTGCGTCTCTTGAAAAACATTCCATAATGTTCCTCAGAAAGAATCTTACGACGTCACAGCTATGTAAAAAACAAATGTGTTTTTAAATGTAAGAGTCATAAGGAACTATAGCAACAGGAACATATTTATTTAAATGTAACAAAGAAGAGCCTTAAAATAACATTTTAAACCACAAGCTCAAAACCAAGTGACCTAAACTGGTTAGTATTGGCTTGCATCTATCGCTAAAACATTACAATAACTCATACTAGACTATGCAATCTGTTTGTAGAAGTGCACCCTGCAATTGAAAATGGCCTCTTGGTAACCTGACCAGAAAAAAACCCAAACTATGTGTCTCCAAGAAAAATAGACTGATGCTCTTAATGTAGTTTATTAGGGCTGTCAGCGTTATTAATCAGCATTAATGCTGCCCTAATACACTGCAATAACTTGTGCTAGGGAAAACATCACAGAACAACCAAAATTACCATGACCATGTCCAATGAGCTTGCAAATTGTCTGTCATCTATATATCTGTTTCAATGACTGAGACCAAGCTTGTGACCACCTGAGATCAGTTGACACCTTCAAAATTACTGTGGTGAATCAAGATGTCAAATAATGCAGTAATCATTTTGCAATTGCCTCAAAGTAGAGGGTGTGGTACACTCAGCCTCAAGGTGATGAGAAAAAAAAGTGAGAATGAACTCAATGTTCAGCACCTCCATTGTCGAAGTTGCAGCACTGAGCTGCAACCACAAGGTGGTTGGTGCCTGTTGTGGTGGTTATACCCGAACCAAATGGTGGACGAAGGGAGTCGCTAGACTGAAGAAAGAGTCCTATGGGGCTTGATTAGCTTGTGGGACTACAGAAGCAATTGATAGGTACCGACAGGCCATGCAGAACACAACTGGGGCAGTGGCTGAAGTGAAAACAAGGATGTGATAGTTGTGGCATATGTGTTAGAACAGTGAACCTGGAGGTGGTGATACAAGTTCTTTTGAAATTACCTTTTTAAAATAAAGAGAGCGTTTTCTCTTTATAAATACTGCTTTGTAACATCAAAAGTTATTACAGTGGCTTGCAAAAGTATTCGCCCCCCCTTGAACTTTTCCACATTTTGTCACATTACAGCCACAAACATGAATCTATTTTATTGGAATTCCAAGTGAAAGACCAACACAAAGTGGTGTACACGGGAGAAGTGGAACGAAAATCATACATGATTCCAAACATTTTTTTTTTACAAATAAATAACTGAAAAGTGGGGTGTGTATGTTAATTTATTAACCCCTTTTAAATAGATGCTTGGGGTACACAATGCATAACAATACAACTTTAAGAGGTCCTGCCCAAATAACCATGTGTGATATGAAGATATGTCTTTATCTGAACTAAACTTTTTTTTGTCTTTCATTTCTGCTTTTCAGGTTGTGCTTCAAAGCTGCCCGGTGAGCAAACAAAAGCTCTGTCTTTGTTAACTTTCATGTTTTTTTTGGAACACGTTTCCGGATGTCAGCTCTACAGCAACAAGAGAAAAATACTAAATACCATAATCGGTTGCATTCTATAATAGAGCCAGTGACTTAGTATGCAATAACTCCTAAATTTACAATGCATGTGTTATGTAATTTTCCTGAGATTAGCGTGCAATTTTAACACTAAGCACTAAGATGCAATGAGTTTTTACAAAAAAAAGTATAAGTTTTTGAGCAGAAATTTTTAGTAGTATTATAGCCTACTGTAAATAATTTTAAGTTGTGAGTAATTTTCAAGCATTATTTTTTACTTTTTTTTCTTCTCTAACCCAGCTCTCCCATCAGCAGTACAATATTTTTCATAAAAATAATGCAACAATGTATACGCTTATCAATAATGTGTAATAACATTTCTTTGAGAAAGCTTTCTTCGTTCTTTTTATGTTTTGTGTCTTATGGTTCTTACTTCTGTGTGGGCAACTATGCTTCAGTATGAAAAGCATGGTATGTTGTATCCACCACATTTCTTTTATGTTCTTTGTTCTTGTTTTTTTAGATGGAGCCAAAATCATTTTAACTGGATCTGGATCGACTCGATGCTCTGGAAGAGTAGAAATTTATCACAATAATAACTGGGTGTCAGTTTCTGATTATAACTGGGACTTAAATGATGCAGAGGTGGTTTGCAGACAATTAAACTGTGGGACGGCACTAGAAGCTCCTCGATCAGCTCACTTTCGTGCAGAAACTGAAAAGATTTGGCTTGATAATGTAAACTGTTCTGGAAACGAAAGTTCTCTAAATGAGTGTCAACACAGTGAATTTGGAAGACACAAATGTGGATATGATCGGAGTGCTGGTGTGATCTGTTCAGGTGAGAAAACATTTAGATAATGAAGACATTATAAGTCATTCTGTTCTTGTGTGCCACAAATGAAATCTCTCCTATAAAATGTAATGAACATATAAAATAATGGTTATGCCCTTTGTCTGATAGATCTTATCAGGTTAGCTGGGTCTGGATCAACTCGATGCTCTGGCAGAGTGGAAATTTATCACAATAACATCTGGGGAAGAGTCTCTGATGGTGGCTGGGACTTAAATGATGCAGAGGTGGTTTGCGGACAATTAAACTGTGGGACGGCACTGGAAGTTCCTCATTCAGCTCACTTTGGTGCAGGAACTGGACGGATTTGGCTTGATAATGTGGGCTGTTCAGGTACTGAAAGTTCTCTAACTGAATGTAAACACAGTGGATTTGGATCACACAGCTGTGGACAAGGTCAGGATGCTGGTGTCATCTGTTCAGGTAATAAAACTGTTAGATATTGATAACATCATAAGTCATTCTGTTCTTGTGTGTCATATATAAAATCATTCCTATATAATGTAAAGAACATATCAAAACATTTTTATGCCCTATGTTTAATAGATCTGATCAGATTGGCTGGCTCTGGATCGACTCGATGCTCTGGCAGAGTAGAAATTTATCATAAATATATCTGGGGAACAGTCTCTGATTATAACTGGGACCTAAATGATGCTGATGTGGTTTGCAGACAGATAAACTGTGGATCGGCAGTAGATGCTCTTCAACTTGCATACTTTGGTGAAGGAACTGGACAGATTTGGCTCAGTGATGTGACCTGTTCGGGAAATGAAAGTTCTTTAACTGAATGTGAACACTCTGGATGGGGAAACTACTACTCTGGACATTACTACGATGTTGGTGTAATCTGTTCAGGTGACAAAATGAGAACACTTTTAGATATGTAACAATTTGCTTCATAGTCTGTTCAGTGTCATACATTTAAAAAAAAAAACAAAAAACAAGGCACGTGTAAGGCACATATATCAAAATGATGGTTTCTTTTGTGACTTATGCTCAAAAGGTCCAATCAGATTGGCTGGATCGACTCGATGTTCTGGCAGAGTAGAAATTTTTCACAATAAAATCTGGGGAACAGTCTGTGATAATGGCTGGGACCTAAATGATGCTGAAGTTGTCTGCAGAGAGTTAAACTGTGGGTTGGCACTAGAGGCTCCTCGATCAGCTCACTTTGGTGCAGGAACTGGACAGATTTGGCTTGATGATGTGGCCTGTTCAGGAAAAGAAGGTTCTTTAACTGAGTGTCAACATGGTGGATTTGGAGTAAATACCTGTAAACACGGTGAAGATGCTGGTGTGATCTGTTCAGGTGAGATACATTTGGATCTTCTCAATGTCCAGTAATGCCATGTAAATGTAACTTTTCTGTTTTAGAGCTTTTTCATCCATTCATTGGTGTGTTTTAGATTACATTCATTGTGAGGAGTCAAATTGAGCTGTACAGTAACCATACTCTGTAGGATTTCGGTAATGAAGTGTTCCATCATTCTCTGTAAATGCAGTTGCGATTCAGAGAGACATAGATTAATTTAGGGGCTTAAAAAAATTAAAGAAACCATACATTTGCTTTCACATCGAGGCTCTCTCTTCACTCAGTTATGTACAGTATAACACTTTTAGACACCCCTAGAGTCAATGGCACTATACCCTAGGCAACAGATCAGGGTTCTGCCCAATGTGAAGGCCAAGCCTGAGAAGGAGATGGAAAAGATAGATAAGAGATACACTTTTATTAGTCCCACACATGGGAAATTTGTTGTGTTACACCAGAAAATGGACAGTGCAAAGTTGCAGCAGTAAAAATGAGGAAAAACCATATACTATAATAAGATAAAAATAATAACTTACTATATAAATCTCATGGTCCTAGGTTGGTGACCCAGTTTTTTGAGTATTGTACTTTTATTTCCTCATGTTTTGACTAAAAGTGTTTTGCTTTCTGTTTTGTATTTCTAGCTCTAGTCCTTTGTTCTTTGTTCCCAGGTTTTGTTTCCGTGTTCCCTTTGCTCAGTGTCAAGTTCATGCCTCTGTGCCTGTTGTGTGTTTCCTGTTTTACTTTGGAAGTCTGTGTCTTATGTCAGTGTTTCTGGTTTTACTTCCCTTGTCTCATTAAGTCTGATTTCTCCCAGCTGTGTTTCCCTCCTGTCTCCCATTCCCTGATTACTAGTGTTTATTTAAGCCCTGTGTTTTCCTTGCACTGTGTCATGTCATTCCCTCACCGTGCTGTGTTTTGCCTCCGTGTTTCTAGTAATGTTCTAGCTTTCTGTCTCTTGGTTTCTTTTCTAGTTTCTCAGTTTTTAAGTTGGATATTCATGTTTTTAGTTTAGTTCCCTGGTATTTCATGTTTGTACTATGTTCTCCAGCAATAAAGCTGCCTCCTTTAGTTAATCACTCAATTTCTGAGTCCTACATTTGGGTCTGAGTCCTACACCTCCTGCCTGTTACACAGCACTCACCTTGACAATACAATAGAATAAAATACTATATACAACAGAATACTATGTTGTCAGAAAAATTACACTCAGTGGTATTGCACGTGTATGTGTATGTCTGTCTGTGCATATGTGGTAATCTGTAAAGTCTCTTGTTGTGGAGTCCGACAGCAGTAGGAAGGAAAGACCTGCGGAGTCTCTCTGTCCCACACCGTGGGTGCCGCAGCCTGACCCTGAAGGAGCTGCTCAGTGCTGTCAGAGTCTCCTGCATGGGGTGGGAGATGTTGTCCAACAGGGATGACACCTTAGCCACCATTCTCCTCTCACTCACCACCTCCACTGGGTCCAGAGGGCATCCTAGAACAGAGCTGGCCCTCCAGATCAGCCTGTTCAGTCTCTTCCTGTCTCCAGCTGAGATGGTGCCGCCCCAGCAGACCACATGTTAAAACATGGCCAAGGCCAACACAGAGTCATAGAAGGTCTTCAGCAGCGGGTCCTTCACTCCAAAAGACCTGAGTCTCTGCAGCAGGTACAGCCTGCTCTGCCCTTTCCTGTAGAGAGCATCTGAATCATGAGTCCAGTCCAGTTCATTGTTCAGATGAACCCAAGGTACCTGTAGCTGTCCACAGCCTCAATGTCCATACCTTTTGTGTTTAGTATAGTGGAGGATGTTTGTGCCTGCAGAAGTCTACCACCAGCTCCTTGGTTTTTTTCAGTGTTGATCTGGAGGTTGTTCTGCTGGCACCAGTCCACAAAGCCTTGGGTCAGTTCTCTGTAATCCTTGTCTTGCCCATCAGTGATGAGGCCGACTATTGCAAAGTCATCAGAGAACTTCTGCAGGAAGCACTGGGTGAAGTTGTGAGAGAAGTCTACAGTGTAGATGGTAAAGAGGAACAGAGCCAGAACCATTTCCCGTGGGGCCCCCCGTACTGCTGATGACCCAGTCCTGAGTTCTCACATACTGTGGTCGGTCAGTGAGGTAGTCTAGTATGCGAGGTGATGGTCCATTCCTGTGTTCTCCAGATTCTCCTTCATGACTGTGGGAAGAATGGTGTTGAAGGCACTGGAGAAATTGGAGAACAGGATTCTCACAGTGGTCCCAGCGGTCTCCAGGTGAGAAAGGGAATGATGTAGGAGGTGAATGATGGCATCATCTACTCCAATTCCAAGCTGATAGGCAAACTGAAGTGGGTCCAGTGATGAGCTCATTAGGGTATTGACTTTAATCCTGCTCAGTTCTCTCGTAACCTGGATGGTTGAGAGAGACAAGCTGGAGCCGTGTGCTGGATGTGTATTGGCTACTGTGGCAGGGCCCCCCCCAGGCAGAGTTCTATTCTTTGTGGCGCAAGATGGTTCTAAGGCCTCTCCAGAATTTGCTAACATCGTTCTACTGAATCTGGTTCTCCATCTTCTGCCTGTAGCTGTCCTTCCCATTCCTGATCAGTCCTTTTAGCTCTCTCTATTCCTTTTTCCATTGCTCCTTGTCTTCAGAAGTGAAGGCTCTCCTCTTCTGCTTGAGAACGGCTTTTATTTCTCGGGTGATCCAAGGTTTGTGTTTGGAAAAACACTGCACGGTGGGTACGGTGTTATCCATGCATAAGTTAATGTAATCCATAATGCAGGTCACAAGGCTGTCAATGTCCTCCCAGTGGTCGTCACAGAGCATCTCCCAAACAGTGGACTCAAAACAGTTCTTAACCCTCTGGGGTCGAGGGACGCACCGGCGCCTAAAAATCACATGACCAATTTCAGACAACACAGCTACAAGATGTAGCGACTCTGAGTCTCCATTTCAACTTGGGTCGAAAGTGCGGACTTCAAACTATATACTAGTTTTTGAATTGTGTCGATGGGCGACATAAAACCGGAGTTATGATAAAAAATACACGCGTTGTTTTTTTTCTGAACAAAACAGTGGTGTTTACAGCGGGAAGAACGGTAAAAACTGTGTTTTCTACAGATGGCGCTAACAAACACTCTCTGCTTGCGATTGAAAAAGAAAAAGAAAAAACACCCCTTCCCTATTGGTGTTAAAGTTTACCATGTCAGCCAATCCAAAAAATGATATAGTAACATGTGGCACTTGGTTGTTTAGGGAGAAGGGGAAGTTTTAGGAAGGACACAGAAATGAATAGAGCTTCTGTAACAGGCTGCCACACAAGAGGTGCGCTGGAGTTGAAAAACAAACAAACAAACAAACAAGAAAATTCAGACAAATCTGAGTAAAGTGACATGGAAGAAATGGGATGATACTAGAGACAAGGCTCTGCCCAACACCTCAGGGAAGTAGACACCAGCTAATCTGTCTTCCTAATGGTCTGAAGTCCCCAATATACCCTGAAGATCCGGAACAGAGCAGAGAGCAGCCTGGCAGAGAGCTAACATGTGGTCTAACCCAGAGGAAAGACACCGAGCCCAGCAAATACATGGAGCTCGTTAATCCACCTGTTTTAACCGTCAGTGTTATCTCATTCGAAATAATATTGTAAACTGGGGTAACTGTATGTTGGGTCTGTGTTTCCACAAGCCCCACTAGTCTAGAGACTTATTCTCGTTAACGACAAAAACAAGATGAACATCTTTTACTTGCTAGCAAGGGAGGCCCCAGCCAGTGTCTCAGAAAGCACTCTGAATCCTGTTTTCCCAACGACGGCCTCCGCTTGCTGCCTTTTGTTGGGAAAACAGTTCACATAATACACATCACAGCAAAGCACCTCCCACATGGTTCTAAGACAAGGCACTATGTGTGTGTATGTGTAAACATCTGTATGCATGTGAGAGTGTGTGTGTGTGTGTGTGCGTGTGTGAGAATGTGTGCGTGTGTGTTTGAGTGAGTGTGTGAGAATGTGTGTCTCTCTGTGTGCATGTGTCTCTGTATGCATGACTTCCTGCTCACCAAAAGAATCATAAAAGCAGGAAGCAACATCACAAGAAACAGATCTTCCAGATCCAGAGAACGTATCTGCAATAAAAGCCTCTCCAGCCAGTGGTCCGAGACAAAGGAATGTCTTGATCCTATACATTGAACTCAGACCTTAAAAATTTAAGAAGCACAATGACAACATTCAACAATTAGACTTTACACTGTGCTTGGACATTAAAAGTATTGCATGAACTATCCCAACCTTATCTTTGTGTTTTGTTTTCAGCTGTACCAATGATCTTAACTGGATCTGGATCGAGTCGATGCTCTGGGAGAGTAGAAATTTATCACAATAACATACGGGGAACGGTTTGTGATAATGGCTGGGACTTAAATGATGCAGAGGTGGTTTGCAGACAGTTAAACTGTGGGACAGCACTGGAAGCTCCTCATTCAGCTCACTTTGGTGCAGGAACTGGACAGATTTGGCTTGATAATGTGGGCTGTTCAGGTACTGAAACCTCTCTCACTAAGTGTCAACACAGTGGATTTGGATCACACAGATGTGGACATGGTCAGGATGCTGGTGTGATCTGTTCAGGTGAGAAAACTGTTAAATATTCAAGACATTATAGATCAGCCTATTCTTGTGTGTCAAATGAGAAATCTTTTCTATATAATAAAATTAACATATCAAAATTTTGTTATGTCCTTTGTCTGATAGATCTGATCAGATTAGCTGGCTTTGGATCAACTCGATGCTCTGGCAGAGTAGAAATTTTTCACAATAACATCTGGGGAACAGTCTCTGATTTTAACTGGGACCTAAACGATGCTGATGTGGTTTGCAGGCAGATAAACTGTGGGTCCGCACTAGAGGTTCCACGACTTGCTTACTTTGGTGAAGGATTCGGACCGATTTGGCTTGGTGATGTGACCTGTTCAGGAAATGAAAGTTCTCTAACTGAATGTCAACACTCTGGATGGGGAAACTACTACAGTGAACATCACTACGATGTTAGTGTCATTTGTTCAGGTGAGACCACTTATAGATAGAGAACAATTTCCTCGTGGTGTCTTTAGTGTCATACATATATGTGGAAGGTCTATCCTTCACATAGAGCCACATAGATCTCCGATGTTGTTTCTGGGATCAGCTGGAGCCACTTGCAAAGCTTGGGAGTCACTGTACCTAGTGCTTGAAGTTATATGTATGTGTATATTTAATGTAAGTTACATATATTAAAAAAGTAGTTTGTCTTGTGACTTATGCTTAAAAGGTCCAATCAGATTAGCTGGATCGACTTGATGCAGAGTAGAAATTTATTACAATAACATCTGGGGAACAGTCTTTGATGACAGCTGGAACTTAAACGATGCAGATATTTAAACTGTGGGACAGCGCTAGA